TTCTCATTACATAGCCATCCAGCCGTCACTTCCACAATAGGAAAAAATTACCGAACATATAAATTCAAAAGCACTTGCTCACACAATTAGCACCTCGGTGCTCAAGCCATAGGCAAAGATCCAGCCTCAAGTCCTCCAGACTGGACCAACATCAAACTTACGGAGATCACATCTCCCCCCTCGATCAGGGAATCACAAGCCATCAAGGCATATCTGACACTGAGCGCTCATGCGCGCATACGAACGCATGGAAGGAATTTCAAAGTTATTTTTCAAGCTGAATCAAGGACGCACAATAAGAATTCAAGAATGTGAAGTTTTTCTAAAGGTTCTGCAGCCTCTCGAGGATAAATACAGACATCTCCGTACCAATCCGCGAAACTCTACTAAACCTGCTCATGACTCGTGAGACGTATGTAACCTAGGCTTTGATACAACTTGTCACGACCCAAACCCCGATCCGGTCATGATGGCGCCTTTCGTGAAGACAAGACCAGCCAACTAACCCATTTCGCCTTTTTAGAATAGTTAATATTAATAAATAGTTTTAGTATGATTAAATAACCACAATTAAGCAAGAAATTTCTTTATAAAGTGTGGAATACAACCCAAACACAGCTCGATACCGGGGTGTCACAAATCACGAGCATCTATTAGAGTATAAATACAACTACAAGGTCTAAAATATACAAAAACAGGATTGATGAGCAAAAAGGGAGAGAAAATGGTGCTGCAAACGCTAGCAGCCACCTTGCTAAACTCCGATAACTCTGCCATCGATTAGCCAAAACCCACTACCGGGTGTATAAATACCTGCATCTGCACACAAGGTGCATGGAGTAAAGTGAGTACTCCAACTCAGTGAGTAATAAAGGTAAATAATAACTGAGCAGTAAGAAATCACGTAAAACAAACCATCATGTTGTATAGAGCAGTCTAAAACCCCTTTGAGTAAAAGCAATGAAACTGTGAAATCCTTGGAAAAACATCTTAGCTCAATTTAAACCTCTTTTAAAAATGACTTTTTCAATGGTTACGCAAATGAGTGCAAAACAAATAGTGTAGATAAGCACGGAAATCCGCCCCTTGGGACACTCAATTAACAGATAATGCCAGGAAATCAGATAGATATCACATGAAGTAACACTTACAACAGATAATGGCAGACAAATGAAATAAAGTAAACACATAGAATAGTACCAGCACCGCTGCAGCGTGCAGCCCAATCCATATATCTCGTCAACGGCGCTCACTGGGGGTGTGCAGACTCCGGGAGGGGCCCCTTACGGCCCAAGCGCAATATCAAGCCATATCGTGGCATCAAAATCTAGGCCCTCAGCCTCATATCAGTATCAGTATAACATTGTTGCAGCACGCAACCCGATCCCTTAGTATCCTCACATTTGGCCCTCGGCCATACTCAGTCCAGAAATCACATAAGCCCCTCAGGCATTAGTAAATACAGTAGTTCTCAGCCCAAAACATCATTTACTATATCATTTTAGTTTCAAAATCGAGTAAAAGTGGCTGAGTTGTAAAACAGTGGAAAACAGTACGACTGAGTTCAAGTAGTAGGTCAAAATAGTGAGGAAATAGTGATAAAAATCCTCAGAAGGTTCAAATAGTTGGCTCGAAGCCCAAATATGGCAATCAGTCCAAATAATGATGATAACAAATAAGTTTCAGTCAAATACGCGGTAAAAGCGTCAATCGGGACGGACCAAGTCACAATCCCCAATAGTAAACGACCCCACGCTCATCATCAAGCACGCGTCTCACCTCAATATAGCACTACGATGTGTGAATCCGGGGTTTCAAACCCTCAGGATATCATTTACAATCATTACTCACCTCGAACCCGCAAAATCTCTAGCGTGCGACTCCTTTGCCCCTCAAATCGGCCTCCATGCGCATCGAATCTATCCAAAATCAGAACGAATACATCACAATATGCTGAAGGAACAAAGCCCAAGCGAAAACAATCAATAACGGGCACAAATCCCGAAATTACCAAAACCCGAGCCCCGGGCCCTCTTCTCGAAACTCAGAAATTTTTACATCAACGGGTTCCTTATCCTTCCACGAGTTCCTACATATCAAAAGTTCTCAAATCTGACCTCAAATGGTCCTTCAAATCCTAATTTAAAAGTTTCAAAATTCCAAGCTCTAGTTCTTCCATTTTTAGCCTAATTCCATGAATTTCTAGGTAAATTCACAATAGAATCACGTTTTAGGTTCAAAAATCTTACCTCCAATCAATTCTCCATGAATCCCTCTTCAATTTCCCTCAAAGAGCTCTCAAAATACTCAGCTATGGAGGAATAATGGCTCAAAATCGCGGATGAAATGTTTTATAAACTTTCTACCCAGCCTTGAACTTCCTTCATCGCAATCGCGGCCCAAGCCTCACGATCGCGAAGAGCAAAAATTCCAAGACCCCCAAATGCACTATGCGAACACGATACCTACTATGCAAACGCGATGCCTTACTTTACAGACCTACGCGAACGCCAACCAGATGATGCGAACACGAAGAACAAATCCACTGGACCCCCAAAGACTTATACGCGAACGCGAACCACTGCATGCGAACGCGAAGCACAAGGTCAAGGCCCTCTATGAACGCGAGATCTCAAACGCGAACGCGAAGGCCAAACTCAGGCCAACCACCATTCCTTTTACGCGATCGCGATGGACCTCACGCGATCGCAAAGTCTAAAATCATCTGCAACAGCTGTTGAAATTTCTACAACTTCTCAACATAGAAAATGGTCCGATTAACCACCCGAAACTCACCCGAGACCCCCGGGACCCCAACCAAAAGTACCAACACATCCTAGAACCTCATTCAAACTTGTTCCAATCATCAAAACACCCCAAACAACACCAAATCCATTAATTCACATCGAATTCAAGCCTAAGTTTTCTAAAAACTTACGAAATACGCTTTCGATCAAAAACCCAACCAAACCACATCCGAATGACTTAAAATTTTGCACACACATCACAAATGACATAACAAAGCTACAGAAACTCTTGAAATTCCATTCTGACCCTCGGATCGAAATCTCACATGTCAACCGGAATTCGCCAAAATACTAACTTCGTCAATTCAAGCCTAATTTTACATCGGACCTCCAAAACCAAATTCTGATCACGCTCCTAAGTCATAAATCGCCCAACAAAGCTAACCAAATCATAAAAATTCCGATCCGAGCTCATATACAAATAAGTCAACTCTTGGTCAAACCTTTCAAATTCAAAGCTTTCAACTGAGACTATTCTTTCAAATTCATACCGATTTCCGTGAAAACCAAAATCAATGATTTACATCAGTCATAATACATCATACGAGGCAAGTCATGCCCGAGAACTAGCGATCAAAGTGCAAAAGCTCAAAATGATCGGTCGGGTCATTACATCTCATCTCATGCTTTGTAACTTTTATCCATCCATTGTTGATTCATCTCAATATTGATCTATAATCTACCATTGATAACTTGACCTTTTATGTAATCATTAGGGCTCACATTGGATCGTGGAACATTTGTAGTCATTTTTTGATCCACCTAGGGACAATACTATACTTCCATGACTGTATTTCATAGCATCCCAATGTAATTCAACTTACGTGGGTATTTTAATTCTGTACAATTCATGAAATCCTCTTCAAATCATTACTCAATCGAAGGTCCAAACGTCATCCTTTATGTATCAAAATTACATCCTCATTCTACTACCAGGGCGACATTTCAACTCTTCTAAATTCTACTCGTCTTAGACGCATTTGAGTTCATTCAGGCTATACTGAATTTTCTACAACTTAGAGAAACCATTAGCTCTCTTGTTTTCATGGGCTTAATCTTGAGGACTTATCCATTCTCGTCACCTTCTCACTCATCCTTTCTTATCCTTACTCCTGTCTTCTTGAACCTTGTCGCTTTACTATACAATAGCTTGCGACCTACACATATCTATTTATTTTACTTGCAACCTTTCAATTTGCTTGCATCATAGATTTCCTTATGTCATTTTGGAACATCAAACGAGACATCACATCGTCTCTTTCTCCCCTTTACTTTCTTAGCTAGACCTCTCGGTACTTAGAAACCATAGGTTAGAAGATATGCCACTGACAATGCCGCTATCATTCCTGGATTCTGAATCCCGGCACTTCTAGCCTTCTATCCGAAGTATGGATTTTTCACAATTTTCTGCACCTGAGTATCTCGTACATTGTTCAAATTTACCTTACTTACCTTAAAATATCGCGTCACCTCTTATACTCCTTTCATAACCTCCTTTCCACATAGGTATAGTTCACCTCCACAACTTGAAGCTTTATTATAACACTTGCACCTTTTTACATGATTCGGCAAGAGCCTTATACTGACTTCTTATGAGGCTGGTACTCTTCTAACTGGTTTTATCATAAAGCCTTTATAAAATATGACTATTGTATTGTCTCTCTTGTACCTCTAATATTAAGAGTGATTCTGCAATGTTCTCAATCACGAGGTCTATAATTTTCTGGGTCCAACAATTTGATGTAACTCTTTAGTTTCCTCCTCCTTCTGATCAGCCTTTATGTAGGCTTAAGCTATCTTCCGATCTGCAACTCATGGTATTAGTTATTATTTTAGCCTTTTGTGGGCGCTACGGAATATCCACGATATAATCTTCTTGCAATTCAATCCTTTGTCCATAGCCTGGACTCAATTCTTTCTTTTAACTTATACCAGAGTCTTCTACGACGGTATGATTGTCAACATATATCACTACAAGAAATATGCTTTTTAGCGACCATTTCTTAACGAAGGGACATGAATCTGGTCGTTATAAATGTATTAATAGCGACCAACCTCTTTTCCAGTCGTTAAAGCTAATTTTTAGTTTCACATTAACGAAGTAATAACATTCTATCCTTAAAAATCATAATATCCGGTCGTTAAAAATTATAATTAATCAATTAAAAATATGCGCTATATTTTCCCTCGCTTTTCCCCAACTCACCCTACACCCGCCCCACTCCCCTCCAAAAAGACCCTTAGTCTACTGCTGATCAAAACCTAAAACTGCTATCAGAAATTTATGGGAGAAGAGAAGACCATTTGTCACCTCCGCCGGCATCAACTGCTCATTTTAGAATTTCTTCTCATCAAGGTAAGATTAGAAAATTTACTCTTTTTATATATTAATTTTGGTTCAAATTAATAGGGTTGTGATTTGGGTTTCACTTTGGTGATGTTAGTGTTCAAGAATTGTGGCATGGTCGGTTTAGAATCAAGAATTTATTGTATGATCGATTTCAGTTATCTTAATTTGGGCTTAAGAATTTTTTGATTATTTTAATCTGGGCTTAAGAAATATAAATTTGCGGAACGGTCAGTTTCAATGTATAATCACCATATCATCATCTCTATCTATTCTACTCCTTTTTATTTGTGTTTTTCTTTTACTTTCTCCTTTTTCATGGCATGACTTCTATTTTCCTTTGTGTTGAGTAAAAGATTCCATCGTTCTCTAATTGGGTTCACAAAAATTTAGAGCCTTAGAAGGATAAATCTCAATGCGTGAAAATTAGGCCGTGGTTTTGACGATCGTAGCTTAACAGTGATTTGCATTGTTTTGGGTGTTACTATATAAAGGTATATCTATTTAGTTTTAGATATCAACTTGGTGTTTGAGTTTTTGCTTCACTGACTTGTTATGTTCTCAGTTCACAACTTGTAGCAATATATCTTGTGATGGCTTTTTATATTTTGTTTAATTTTTCACAATCTCTTATAGAGAATTGTTGTCCAGTATTTGTGGAAATGATTAGTTGATTTTTCCCCATAGATTGATGATTATAATAGGTGCTTAAGTTGTAAAAGCAGTCAAGCACTTGTCATTATAGTGAACTGTTGTTACTCTTTCAACTCTTAAAGAGGTGCAGGATTAATGTTTAGGTTGTTGAGGTACCGATTTCACTGAATCCAGTAGCCGACCTTCTTTGCTGTTTTCCCTTGTTGGTTACTTGATATAAAGTATTTTTAAAAAATGTATGGATGTATAATTTTTATTTTTTGTTATCATGGTTTTTTGAATTTGCTTGAAGAGACAGTTTGATTAGTTTTAGAATGAATTGTGACTGAAGGCTTCATATGGCAGACCCACCTAGTTTGTGATTTAGAGCAATCGTTCGACTTATTTCTTTACTTTACTAAAAGAATATTCTTTGTTAGTTTTCATGCATTTCCCCACTTCAGCTCAATTTCTTTTGGGGTTTCAGAGGCTCTACGAATCCTTCAAGGAAAATCAGTATCATGACTGTGATGCAAAGGAGAAGTTGAGTAAAGAATTAGGCTTAACAGCTCACCAGGTGTTATGAGTTCTCCCTAGCATATGTTAATTTCAACTTCGTCCGCATTTTCGCAACTTGTATCTTTGATTTTGCTTCGCGGCTGCCCTCTTTTTCCTTAGTTTCTTTTTGTCAAATATACAGGTCAGTAAATGTTTTTAAAATGCTCGTCATTGTAATCGTCATTCTTCTCGCTGAGACTCAATTATGAGTCAAAAAGTGTTGAAAGAATCTCCTTCCTAACCAAATATAATGGGAGAACCACTTGGAACTGAATCACTATATGTGATAAAGTTAAAGTTGAACAGAGTAGCATTTCTTATGTAATGTTGGGGATAAATATAAAATGTGCATTTATTTTCTGCTCTATGAGCTATTTACATTACCAATAAGAAAACAAATCAAACAAATTATTAGTAACTCATGAAAGGGAAACACTTTTAGATGTTTAAACTTCTGAACATTATTCCGATATTGCGTTGTCTGCCTTTAAAAGTGAACGGCTAAATTCTTTTAGAGTTTGCTCCCCTAGTAATGGATTATATTGTTCCTTGAGCCTTGCTTTAAACTTGGAATTTTTTTTTAATTATGCCAAAGATCTTTCCTTTATATAATCCACGTGAGATAACTGTCGGGAGTGTGAATTTAGTTTAGATTTTGCACCCTCCTGTTATTCTGTCTCTTATCCACTAAGTTTTACTACTACTATGTAAGATGTACAAATTCATTTCTCTCTCATAGGAAGTATATGTGATTTAATATGTTGGTGATGGAGATGAAAGCTTTTGCAGAAGCATAAGTGATTTAATATGATGAAAGTACTTCTTATGAAATTTCGGTGAGCATCACAAGTCATACACAAATATAACTTAATCTCTCCGTCACCTTGTGCATACTGAAATTAGAGTATCCTTTCTGCTATTGAATGCTTTTACTGTTAATCTTGAAGCATGTATCTTACTGGTTGCGTTATGTCTAAATTAGTATTCCGAGAGCTTAGCTGGTATGTGAACCTTCTATATTTATGGTCATGTCCATATTTTTTTTGTTAATTTGAATTTAAGTAGTTTTTTTATTTGATCTTGCACTTGCTCAAAGCTTCTGTTTCATGTATTCTAATTGCTGGAATTAGATACCGTCGACAGTGTTAAGGCATTTTTAAATCTTGGACCTAGGGAAAAGTTGGAGAAAGAGAGAAAATAATAAAATTTCAGAAAAATGGGTCAATTCATTGTGCTCCATTTCGTTGGTAGTTCTTTCCGTTGAACTTGAATTTGTTACTCAAGAATAATAGTTATCTTTTTGTTTTGCATATGTGGAACTATAGAAAAGTAGACTAATGAATATTTGTGCTGAAATTATTGCTTTTAACCCGATTTACATGCTTCTCACAGTAAAATTGTTTCATTCTATTTTCTTGTATTCTTTGCTGTCCTGTTTTCTTTATTTTGTGGCATGGTCACCGGTTCCTCTTGCTAAAGACCAACACAATTGTTTGGAGTAGTAAAGAATCCAATTGCTTGGAAATATTTTCCTTTTCTAGATTTTCGACTAATATGCAGTGACTCTCTTTAATATCAAAATTTCAGTGCCGAATCAAGGTGGGTGTACCTCAATTTTGGCTCATCAGTTCACTTAGATGAACTTTTTTCCATTTATTAAAAATATTTTCCGAATCTGTTTTATGTTTCGATTCCCTCTGTCTTACTTATATTTCAGGAGATCATAAACAAAAAGAATATAGAGATTTGCTGCTACAAAGGAATCGCAAGACTTCAAAAGATAGGATTTGGAGCATAAAATGCCGGGAAAGGGGGTAATTACATTTGAGACAGGATTATTTGAGTTAAAAACCTTTCTAATGTATGTTTAACTTATTTCCAGCGAGACATCCAAGACACTGTTGTAACTTAATGGGAATAGAGACAACTGAACGGATGAGTTAAAATTCTTTACCAGAAACTCATGTTGGAACAACTTGTAATTTTCCAAACAAAGTTTTAAGCTCTGTTGTTCAAAACTTCAGATTTAAAGAGATAATACCATGTTATCTACTTTTGCTGCCAAGTAATTGCTGCTTCGTAAATCCAAATAGAAATAGTGATACCCTTATCATATAGTTAAACTATTAGAAGAAATTTCTGTCTCTCATGTTGTTTTTTGAATTAAGAAGCTATGTCTCAAAGTGTTTAATTTATTTAAACTAATCATCCAAGATATTTTTGTGCTTCAGATTTGCTCAATGGATTTCAGCAAAGAATGTCTGCTTCAGAAAGCATATGGAATTTAGTCATAAATAATCTCAACAGAACATGGTTAATCTTTTAATGTTAAGATATTTTCTCTCTTGATTCACTTCTATTCATTTTATTGTAAAAAATTGGAGCTTTTGTTTAGACTCTGGTAATGTGGTCTATTTTTAAAAAAGAGATGATAATCTCATGTAGATTGCTTTATGTTAATTGACATTTTTCTTGCACTTGAACTGTTATAGATATATGTTCATTTATCCTCATTCTAAATGTCTTAAATATTGAATGGCTTCATATACTTCATCCTTATTATAGGACTCCTCTAAAATTATGAGATTAATTCTCTGATAGGAAAGATCGATTATCTAGCAGTGGCTACATGTTTATATCATTTGTAATATGAATACAATTGTTTTGCTTATATGCTTTTGTGGACATAACCTTCAAACCTATTATTTTTACTTGCATATTTTACGTTTTTATGTACACGCAGACAAACTTTGAATCTTATGAGACATCTATTTGAAACAAAAGGAAACTTAAAGGATGGTTCTTACGAAGAGCTATTTGTTTGAATATCCCATAACAAGTTATTAGGTGGGGTTTATGTGGAATTTATTTATTTTTATTTTTTAATATTTCCCCAGAACAAGAAAGAGAGGAAGAAAGTGAGAAAAGTGGGTATATTGAAGAAGGATCCTGACCAAATGAGTAAGTTCCACATATAATTCTTTTCTTTGTCTAAGTTGTTGCATTGAGCTCTGTGATACTTGTTATATAATTGAATAAAATGTTCTCTCTTTTTGTATCATTTGTAATGGAATAAAATGCACTTGTGCTTAACATTTCTGTTGACGTAGATCTTTGGAGATTGTTTTGAGTGACATTAAAGAAAGATTGAGAACTATAAATTAATGCCTATCCATCACGTTTAGTAAAGTAAAAGCAATAAGAAGAGGACGAGCAGAATTAGGATATAATCTGAAGTGGATTAATTAAAGCTCGAAGAATTACTTTAGAAAAATTCATGAGTAAACTGAAGATTGTCTACTAACAGTAATATAACAGTGGACATGTTGTCATCTTGAGTTAATTGATTTAAATTTTTACATAGTTTTTAGTTGTCTCTTAGTTCTTTAATTGTGTTTTGTTAATTGAACCGAAAACGTTATACCTAATGGGAGTGGAGTAGTGCATGCTATTTCTAGAGAACTTTATTTCTGCTTCCTATTTCCCACATTTTGCCTATCATATCAGATTCAGCAGCTCTTTTAAAACTAAGTTAACAATTTGCGCTCCTTTAAATAATGAATGAGCTCTTTTTTCTCTTCTGATAATAATGAATGAGATATTTTTTCTCTTCCAATAAATATGAATGGGCTAATAACCTATTTTTCAAAGCTTGAATCAGATTAACAATTTCTTAGACAGTTAATCGCAAAAGAAATTATGTGATTCTTTATATAATGATGAACACAAAGAGGGTTGCTTACTAAACACTTGATTGAACTGTGAAAGCACTTGGTTGTGCGATTCTTTATGTTCTGCTTACTAAACACGTTTATGTACTCATTATAACTTTCCTCTTTCATACATCAGCTAACTGTAGTAACATACACCTAATATTGTGATTCAAATCTTTAAGTGTTGTAGCTTTTTTACGATGCATATGTTACTTTATATTAGAAGATTTACATCTCACTAACTATGTAAAGTCCAATTCTAATGGAGAGGTATTTGCTTCTTCATAACGGTGTCTTTCAGGTTATACTAGATTTTCTTCGATTCTCAACGAAGTTTAACACTTTCAAGGTTGCTCAAGTTATGGAGATATTGAAGGCATAATCCAACAAGCTGCAAGGATCATGTTTGGTAAAGTCAAAGTGTCGTGAAGGCTTACCTAGAATTGAGCATGAGATATCATCTGGTGATAATCTTTAGTTGCAATTTTGCAAATAAAGATTACTTTAGACTGCAAATTGCTTCGCATGGTCTAGTAGTTCTAAAACAAGTCATATACGAGTAAAGTGTAGCAGATCAAGAATTTGGAAGTTCGAAATATCAATCCTTGAAAAAGTGCAGAGCAAAAAGTTGAAATACAAGAAATTTATTTTGTTGGGGTGGTTTAAAGATATCTGATGTACATTGAATGCATTTTTTTCTATGTTTAGGAGTTGTTAAAATATTGTCATACAATTTGGACGGTTTTATTATTCTTTAGTTCTTTGTATCAATGATGAAGTTTCATATGAATACTGATTATTTAATATAGTTTTGATTGTGTTGTATGTGTATGAAAGCATATGAAATAATTATTTTATATTTAGTAAAATAAAATTTTATAATTATATTTAGTAAAACTTCTCATTAGCGAAGGGAAATTTGGGCTATAAAAGTACCTGTAACGACCAAATTCGTTGCTCCCACAAAGTTTTTTAACGACCGGGATGACAATTTAACGAAGGGAAAATTTGTCGCTAAAAAGACATACAACGACCGAAATTTATGTTGTCGCTGAAGGATCTTTAACGGCCGACTTATAGGCCGGTCGTTAACTTTTAACGTCAAAGCTTTTAACGACCGGCGACAACAGGATTTTCTTCGGTCGCTACAAGCTTATAACGATCGGATTTGGACTTTTAACGATCATTTTTCCCCTCGCTATAAGCCCTTTTTCTTGTAGTGTATCCTAGGATGATTCATTTCAAGGTCCTCAGATAGGAGTCACCAATTTTTCTCACTGCTTAAGAAGAAGAGCAATTTTGCATGGACTCCGGAATGACAGTTGGCCTTGGAGGAACTAAAGAGGTATCTATCGAGCCCGTCGCTACTTCATACCTCGAAAGTGGACGAGCATCTTTACTTGTACTTGGCAGTCTCGGAGATAGTGGTAAGTGGAGTCCTGGTCCGAGAAAAACAAGGTACACAATTCCCTGTCTATTATGTTAGTCAGACCTTAGGTGAGGCCAAGACTAGATATTCACACTAAGAAAAATTAGCACTTGCTTTAATAAGCGCCTCTAGGAAACTAAAATCATACTTCCAATGACATCTAATATGTATTGTGACAACTTATCCTCTTCGAAATATTTTGTATAAACCCGAACCGTCGAGCCGATTGGCCAAATAAGCCATCGAAATCAGTGGGTACGGTATTGAGTATCGACCCCGAACCACCATCAAGTCTCAAATCTTGGCAGACTTCGTGGCTGACTTTGCGCCGGCCCTCGTACCCGAGGTTGAAAAAGAACTACTGATGAAATCGGGTACATCTTCGGGAGTCTGGACCTTCTTTACATACGGGGGTCCGAACTGGGCATTGTGCTAAAATCACCCCACGGGTGATATAGTTAGACAGTCTATTAGAACTACGAAATTGACTAACAATGAGGTCGAATATGAGGCCATGATTGTAGGTCTCGAACTAGCTAAAAAATTTGGAGCAGAGGTCATAGAAGCCAAGTGTGATTCCCTCCTCGTGGTAAACCAAGTTAACAGGACTTTTAAAATCCGAGAAGACCGAATGCAAAGATACTTGGATAAATTACAAATGACTCTACATAAGTAAAGAATGGACTTTGCAGCATGTACCTCGAGAACAGAACAGCGAGGCAGGTGCTCTTGCCAATCTAGGTTCATCAGTCGAAGATGACTAACTCAACTCGGGGACTGTAGTACAACTCATGAGGTCGATAATCGAAGAAGGCCGCACCGAAATAAACTCCATGAGTTTGACCTAGGATTGGAGAAACAAGTACATAGAGTACTTAAAGAACGGAAAGCTCCCATCGGATCCAAAGGAGTCGAGATCTCTGCGCACAAAGGCAGCACAGTTCACTTTGTCTGAAGACAGAACACTGTTTAGAAGGATGTTCGATGGACCATTGGCAATATGTTTGGGACCGGGAGATACCGATTACGTCTTACGAGAAGTTCACAAAGGCACTTGCGGAAATCATTCCGGTGCCAAATCGTTGGTCCATAGAGTAATCAGAGCAGGATACTACTCGACCGATATGGAGAAGGACACAAAAGAGTTCGTTGAAAAATGCCACCAATGCCAAAGGTATGCGCCAATGATTCACCAGCCCAGAGAGCAGCTCCATTCGATTTTATCCCCACGGCCGTTCATGACATGGGGAATGGACATCGTTGGCCCTCTTCTATCAGCCCCAGGTAAAGCTCAGTTTATCTTATTTATGACTGATTATTTTTCAAAGTGGGTTGAAACATAGGCTTTCGAGAAAGTCAGAGAAAAAGAAGTCATAGACTGCATTTGGGATCACATCATATTCGATTCGGGATACCCTCTGAGATCGTATGTGATAATGGAAGGTAATTCATCAGTAGCAAAGTGACTAAATTTCTCGAGGATCACGAGATCAAAAGAATCCTATCGACACCTTATCATCCCAGCAGGAACGGACAAACCGAATCGACCAATAAAACCATCATTCAGAACCTTAAGAAGAGATTGACCGACGCCAAAGGGAAATAGAGAGATACTACCCAAAGTTATATGGGCGTACCGCACAACATCGAAATCCAGTACCAGAGCAACATTGTTCTGATTAGTTTATGGCGTTAAAGCTCTAATCCTGGTCGAAGTCGGAAAACCCATCATCAGATTTCAATATGCAACAGAAGAGTCAAATAACAAGGCCATGAATACGAGCCTAGAATTTTTGGACGAAAGACGCGAAGCCGCCCTCGTCTGATTGGCCGCTCAAAAATAACGGATCAAAAGGTACTACAATCGAAGAGCCAATCTTCGACATTTTAATATCAGGGACTTGGTGCTAAGAAATGTCACCCTCAACACCCGAAATCCAAATGAAGGGAAGCTGGGTCCAAACTGGGAAGGACCGTACCAGGTTCTCGAAATCACCGGAAAATGATCCTACAAGCTCGGCACAACGAATGGTTAACAACTACCGAGCAATTGGAATGTATCACACCTAAAACGGTACTACTATTGAGGTACGACCCTTTCCATTTTCATGTATATTTTAAACTAACTCCTACAGGTGTTCGATCAGAAATAGTAATGGACCCCTTGACACGAAGTCTTTAGGTCTGAAAGCATGTGTTGCACTCTTTTTCCCTTAGACCGATTTTATCCCAAAAGTGTTTTCCGACGAGGTTTTTAACGAGGCAACCATTGATCGTGCTAACTTAGAACAATTTAATAGTATCCGAGGTTTCTTTATAATCAACCTCGAATACTTGGGAGGCATTACACTCGAGTGTCAACTTTGTTGCGAGGAAATTACTTCATGGAATCAGGGTCTCGATAGGAAGATTTGTAAGGGTCAAACGGTCAAACGAACCGTGCCTGCATAGTTTGCTCGAACCTTAGCACAGAACATGTATGTATGTATAGTCAATTATAAAGAGAAGTATTTATCCTTGCCAATATCTCATGCCTTGGAAAAATTTTGTGCTTTTTCTACTTTACAATTTTATACTCTCGATCTATTATGGCTTAAGGGCCGATCATAACCGGAGTTCGGATAATTACCCCCACGCTCAGGGACTCCCGTCCGAAAAATAAACAAGATCGAATTATTAAAACTTCGAGATCATAAGACTTTTTAGGCAACTCTCGATTTTTATAGGGCATGGCCACCCCATTCGAGGACTGACACTTCTAGCAAGCTCAAAGTAAAATGGGAAAATAAGCCCAAGGGGAAAATCCCAGACTAAAGAGGCTACAACTAAATTAACACGGTTCGGAGACGTCCGAATTCCGTAACAAAACAGGCCTTAGATTCTTTCTTAAAACTGGTTAAAAGGACTACCCCCTACAAAATCGTAAAAGGCTTCGATAATGTCAAGCCTCGAAAACTCTAATGAGTACTAAACTATTCGAACTCTCAAACAGTTCCTTACTTCATGCTAAGGCATTACAACCTTTGTGAACATGAATGATAAATAAAGGGAATACTTTGAAAGCCGAAAAGGGTAGACAAGCGTTATATATATATATATATATATATATATATATATGATTAAACGATCGTTTTGCAAAGGCCAGATCGGCCTAATACAAAATTTACAAAGGCCTAAGGGCTACTTTCACTTCGAGTTCGAGAAATCATTCTCACTCGACTAAAAGCGTAAGGGCTACTTTCGCTTCGAGTTCGAGAAATCATTCTCACTTAACTAAAGGCCTAAGGGCTACCTTACTTCGAGTTCGAGAAATCATTCTCACTCGACCAAAAGCCTAAGGGCTACCTTATTTCGAGTTCGATCAGGTCTTCACTCGACCACTAAGCTTAAGGGCTACATAAATTCAAGTTCGAATAATCATTCGGGGTTCATCGATTGGAAATGGTCAAGGGTAAGGCTTGTTATCGGTCTTCACCATTGCGAACCTCGAATCCTCGAATGCAACTTTAAAATATTACATTAAGGCGTTTCAACCCTTACAAGAGATAACAAAAAAAAGGGCAACAGATCCAAAAGCCATGAAGGAAAGAAGTTTCATATATTCATCATAAATCTTTTTACAAGGGCCATATGTCCCGATTAAGAGTTCTTTACAAAGGCGATCAACCTCAAAATAAAAGCGAAAAATTACAAAAAGTAGAAAGCCTAAGCATCACAATCCTTATCGGTAGAAGTATCTTTGCCCTCATAATCCTCTCCACAGCTAGATTCACTCAAGTCCTTGGAGTCTTCCTCAAGAAAAGCCAGCTTCCAAGCATTTGTTTCCTCTATCCTGGCAACCTCGATTTCAGCAGATATACCGAAGCTTTGATAATGGGCCCCCTCAAGGGCCTCCCTTCGAGCCTTCCACTTTGTGTGATCCACCATGCTCTTGGCATACGCTAGGGTGGCTTCAGAATCGGCCTTGTATTGGGTCGCATTAGCCTGAGCCTTTATATTGGTCACGGCTACATCAGATCTGGCCACCTCAAGCTCTTTGGCCAAGTTGGCTAAATGGGATTCGAGCTCCTCGACCCTATTTGCCTGAACCAAGGCATCTTCTCTCGCAGAACGAAGCTGAAACTCGGCCGAATACAGCTCTGCTTGTACAACCCCCTTCTGTGCGGCCAAAATGTCCATGCATCCCTTGAACTCCTTAGCCTCGGCTCGCACTTTATCTATTTGCCTTTAGAAGTCCTTGATCTGTTCGAGCCTCTGTCGGACTTGCAGAATTGGTTCGTTAGTTGTTATCTCCAACTCATCCTAACTATCATGAAGAACTCGAAATACCTGCTCGGCCATCTCAGCATGTTCACTTGAGCCGTCACCAAGTTTT